ATCTCCTCTGGATACTAATCTGCTTGAAGGGATTAATAATGTATGCTGTCATATTAATGTGTGTGTTTGTCAGTGTCTTGAGCCACTCTCCTCCTTCTGTTATTGTAAGGTTGAAACAGAAATTATCAGGGCTTTTCCTCGTCAGGTTGTAAAGGTTTGCAAGGTACACAAAATATGTTTGATGTTTTAATGGACATAGTGGGCTGAGGGGGCTGTAGCATCCTCTGTGCAAATATGTGCCTCTGGGATGGTGCTGATTCTAGAAGAGCTGGATTTGATATGTATGTGAAACACTTTTGTGATCAGTTTCGCTTACAGTAATTTTACATCAGTGAAAACAAGGGAGATTTTTGTGTTGTTCAAACCTTTCTTTCCATGTTTATTAGGCATAAATACCTCAGATCTGCTTAAGTATGATCTCTGGTCTATAGACTTTTGCATGCACGCAGATATATACATATTGATGTATACATATATATATATATGGAATAAAAAGACACAAGCCTCTAAAGAAACAACTAGTAGTCTGCCTAAATGTGCGTTTGTCAGGTTTTAGTACATCAAAGGTAGCAATCCAGAGTCTAGCATTTTACACACTGCATGAGAATATAATTTCTGCTTTAAAAATTAGTAGCTACCTGAATAGAGTGTGGCCCAAAAAAAGAGAAATACCTTTGATTGAGAAGGGATCAGATTCTAGGTGGTTGAAGAAAGGCAAAAGCAGTGTCCATGAACAGCAGTGCATGGCTCTGTCTTGTCTAGCAGCGAGGACTGCAGCTGGGTTATGGGATGTCAACATGCACCTTTTCCAGCCTGGTACTGACTTGTGTGCTGTGTCACGCTGGTAAAAGAGCACGTGCAGCTACCCGGTGATCTATATCAGTTAAATGATCTGTTGGGAGGACCCGCCCTCCCTCCACCCCGAAATTAATTTGGTTTTGTTTCCTCAGGCAGACAAGTTTTCCAGTTTTTATATTGGTATGAGGAGCTACCAGTAAATGTACATCTTTAGAGAGGGTGCTGTGAGAAGCCTTGCCTCTGAATATGAAATGGTGTCTGTAAGTACAAATTTCTGTCAGTGTGTGTCTGCCGCTGATGGAAGGTGAGCTCAATGCACAGTGCTCAAAAGGAGCCTCTGGTTTTCATGGAGCTGAGGTCATCAGAGCAGCTCCTGAGCTGGATCTCTGTGTAGCCAACATGGGTGCTCTGACTGAGGAAGGAGAGACACTGCTCCTGCAGTAGTACAGATTTGAACTAGGTTGGTGGCTTGAAATTGCAGTTCAGGTTGAAAGTAGCTGAACTTCAGCAGAAAAGAGAAATTAAATCTGGGGTGACTGTCTGGAGGATTCCAAACTGATTATTTAGAGCTTATCTTACATGATCAGGAGGTTTTCTTCTTGAACATCAGCTTTAATATAAGAGAATTCAGGAATATGAAACCTTGACAGGGTGTATGTCAGAGGTCACACATAGCCAATCTGCTGAGTATGAGGAGCAAGGATCTTTTCCTTATTTTATATAAGCAGCTTAAATATGGTGGGGTTTTTTTTCCTAATGTCTTCACTAAAGTGTCTTGGATTTTTTGTGAACAGTAATTTTCCATTATTTGGAATAAAGATGGAGCTTGTCATCAAGATGACCATTTTCAAGAGTAAAGCTTGGGTCAGCCAAAGAGGTAGCAAATCGGCATTGCGGGTGCCTTTAGTAAATTCTATGTCTTTTGAGAACGCCTAGGAGCGTTAGAAAACATTCTCCCAGGGAAGCTAAAAGGCCCTCCTGGGAGGAGGTGTCACAGAAACTAAGAAAGAAGCATTTTCCAGGAATGGGTGGTGATGAGGAAGAGTTTAGTATGTAGGAGGGTAGGAAGGATTGCCTCTGACTACCTGGAGATTGTTACAGAGACTCCTTGTTTCTCTAATGTGTTGATGTAGTTTTCAATAATATAAATTTATGTCACTTTACTGGAAGATCATATTTTGTGTTTTCTAAGGCAGGGAATAAAAATATTTAGCATTCTAAATACTGGAAAATAAAATTAATAGATACTACAAAAGCATGCTTTCACTGAGCTGGGGAAAGCAAGGCTGTTCCTGTCTAGTTTAATGTACTTAAAAGGTAACAGAACTCTGGAATAAAAGTTGATTTGAGCATTGAGTGCAGCTTACTTGCTTGGGAGCAGAATGCAGCTAACAATTGTTAGCAAAAGATGTTCAAGAAAAATGTAACATATTTGGAAACAAACACATATATTTGGAAACAAATACTGCAGTTCTGTGCAACAAACAAAACCAAACCACCAAAAAAGCCACCACCCAAGAACACCCAAAAAAACCTGGGTGACGGTTTTTGTGTACCTAGAATCCTATATTGGATTGATCTCCTGCTACAGTTGGCATTTTACACTCTGTGATGGGATACAGAATGGATTTGTTTTATTTAGAGAGTTTTGAATTAAGAAGAACTAGTTCACAGAAAGATTGTATTTGCAGTTATAAAAATGCAAAATTGAGCTGTGATGTCTGTCTGGCTTAGATCACCAGCTCCTTCAGGCAGTGGATGTCATCTCCGTACATTGCTTCACTCAGTGATTGCTCTCTTAAAATAATGAATGTTCCCTTCCCTCCTGGTCCCATAATACTGATTAAATTTAATTCTCTATCAAATCCAATTTGGAAGATTTTTCTAGCGTGTTTGTCCTAGTCTTCTAGATTGGTATCTTTAGGAACAAGTACAATCTTTCTTGGAGTAGTTGTATTTATTTTCTCCTCCTGAGTGTCCAGTTCCTTCATTCTTAGAATTTACAACAAAGTTTTATCTCTGAATCTCATCGATGTTAACTGTTGCTGTCTTTTCCAAAATACGAGTTTCAAATCCTTAGTGTCCTGCGTTCAAATTCTTCATAGACAAGTGAATCATTATTTTATTTTCAGGTCATTAAAGATAGAGAACTTTGGTGGAAATGCATGATAGCAACTGTCTGGCACAGGGCGCAGGCAGAAGCAAAAGCTTTTGACAGCATTTGCGAAGGATTCTAAGGAGAATTGTCTACTGTGCACTGTCTTGAAAAGGAACACAGAGTTCTTAATTTAAAAGTTTTAACTGTCAAGATGAAAGTTAAGTAAAATTTACTGTTTTACTGGGGAGCAAAAAGAATAGTTGTATTTACAGTTCTGAGTGTTTGAACTGTTGTTCTGCTGCAAATGAAAAACTGATGCTAGAAAGGATTAGAAAGCACTTACATAAATTTGATGGTTGCAGACTTTCTAGTTTTAGCTACCACAGAAGTGGTCGTGTGATTTGAGAACATGGTGGCTTTCAGGTAAAGAACAGAAACACTACATTTTCTTTTCTTACAGACTTCCATGTATTATTTAACACTAATATTTTGCTTGGTTGGAATTGGGCCACTCCAACAGAGAGCTATTACATATTAATTGCTTTCTCTGAGTTCCTACTGTAAGCATGCATGCACTGAAGCACCCACATGTATGACTGTGTCCAGTGCTTAACACTCCACTTGACCTGGAGATCCTGCTGTGGGTTTTTTGGAGCTTCTTAATGTCTGGTGCAATGTACTTTGATCGTCTCAGCTTGGACAGTGAAACCTCTGCTTATTGCTGAAGTGTTCACTCATAGTGTCACTGGTGATGACCCTCTCAGACGAGGTACACCCTGCTGTGAGAGTAGCTGTTGTTTTACCTTGGTCTACCAGTCCTCAGATATCACACCCACAGGAGCTCCAAGTTTTAAGCTGTCTGGATAATGTGGCTTCCCAACGGTCTCTGCACCATGAACTTTTTGGTTTACAACTGCTCAATTGGGCTGCTAACCTGACAGTGATTCTGAGTGTTTTGAACGTGAATATAATATGGCAAATACTACCAGCTTCATTAGAACTTGAGGTTGTTGATCTAATGTCACTTAGGTGAATGGAGATTGCTTAGGAAGTAAATAGGGGAAAAGAATATAAGAAATAATTTAAATTTTTCGCTGTGTGTTCTCCATGGATAGCAGGGAGCTGTGTACATGTTAGCTAGGAAGAATATCCCAAACTCATATTTAAGTGTAATGAACTGGACTGCTGTGCACAGTATCAGTATGTGGCTTTTAAGTTTCTTAATTTCACAAGACTAGACTAATGTTTATTTTGATTTTATTTTTTGCTTTATTATAATAGTTCTTTTTCATGTTAATTTGATTTCTCATATCAGATTGAGAGTGGGTGGTGGGAAGTTATGTTGCTTAAAAAAGAAAGTACCTGGAATTCCAATCCTAAATTCATCATTAGGTAATAGCATTTCCTTCTGGATTTTGAAGCTATTGTGGAAAACTTGAAATTCAAAATTATCTAATCCTGAAAATGCCTATTTGAGTATTATGACTATAAATATTTCCTTTCAGTCATTTATTATTTCAGTCGTATTATGGTGCACAAAATCAGATCTTAGTTATTTTCTGTGATTTGCTACTTTTCATCTTCTGTATTTATCAAATTCTCTTGTGAGGTTTGGGTAGGAAGTTGATGTGAAAGTCTCCATCCATAGTTGTTAAGACTATTACTGTGGGAAAACCACAGAAGTTAATGAGCAGTTTAGTTCTAGCAGAAACTACAGGGCTATAGTAGAAGCATCTACTCAGTATTGCTTGGTTTGGTTTGGTTTGCTTTGTGGTTTTTGTTTGTTTGTTTGTTTGTTTTTTTCCCCAAAATATATTGGAATTCGAATAAATGTTTTGTCCCTTGCAAAATTTAAATAGTGTTGTTCTTTTAGCACTGTCACTGCTGCTCTGCTCTGCCTTCAGAGCCTTTTCAGTTCAGCTCTTTAATTCATCCTGAAGGAGCTGAATGACCTTGGCCATTCCTGCAGGCTGAATATGTTGCATTTGCAGTTTTTTCCCAGCCTGTGAAACTACTTATGTTATGGGTTTCTTTCTTAAATGTTACAGTGTCTTATATTGTTGAATGAAGTAAATCTTTAAATTTTGTTTACTTCTTGTTCCAGGCATTGGATCAAGACAGAACTGCACTACAGAAGGTGAAAAAATCTGTGAAAGCAATATATAATTCGGGTCAAGGTAAGACATTATTTTCAGTTTTATCTGGGAACATAAGCATTTGATTTCATGTTTGGGAAAGTATCTTGTAATTTATCCTGTTGAAGTGTATAGCATAAGAGATGCTTATCTGTTTAGGAGTGTTTGAACTTAAAAATTTGCTTCTGATCATACATCAGATTAATGTGCTCTCTAGTCCCTTCGCCCTCAGTTCCTGCTAAAAGGCCTCTAGGAGAATTCCTGTGGTTAAATTTTCCTGCTGTCATAACATTTCAAGCAGTTGCCTTCAACTACAACAGTGACAAGACAGTGTCCTAGACTGAATTTATGGAGTGCATTTGTAAGTAAAATAAGAATGAGAACTTGTTAAAAAGTTAAACAAGTAGAAGTACCTACAGGTATTCTACAGATGTGTTTGTTTCTTCAACAGATGCTCCCCTCTCTTAACATGTGCAGTAAAAAATTATCTATTTTCCTTCTTACCTAAAGTAGTAGAAGTTTATTATCATTTTGCTTGTTTGAAGATACTGTTGGTATTTTATTGGAGCCATGCTAATAACTTCGGAAGGATGGAATGTGAATTGATAATCAGTTTGAGTGCAGTAACAAATGATGGTCAAAAACAGATCAATATATAAATTAGGTTTTAAAAATGTTACAAAGTATACCTGGCTTCTACCTCTGTTTCTCTTAAGCTCTGAAAACTCTGCTAAAGGCAGATAGGGCAGCAGAGCTGTTCACCTTCCAATAACTATGTGGCTGTAAATACTGGATTTTAGAAAATCCCAGTTCCTATTCCCTAGCAATAATAGTTCAGCAAATATTTTCCATATGCAGAGCCTCTTCTGAGTGATCTTAGTTTCTGTATTGTTTTGTGTGTTGGCCCACTAACTGGTGTTTCTAGAAGTGTGTGGGTTTTTTAATGCATTGTAGTTTCTTACCTTTTCTCTTCTATAATCACTAATATGGTTGCTTTTTTAGCACCATGTTTTACTCAGCTTTGCTGTAACTTCAGTTGATGATGAGTATTGTTGCAACAGACTTAGAAGCCTGTTATAAAAAGAGAATAGTATTTGACACATGGATTCGGTTTTTATGATTTTAGAAGTATTCAGATGCTCCAAACAGCTTTTCTGACTTACTCACTGAATTTCAAGACTGATGAAAACTGTAGAACACAGGAAAAGTATTATGCCTGTTTTGAAATACATAAATGATACTAAAAATTTTAGCTGTCATTTGATTTGAGTCTGTAATAAAAGTAATACTGTTTTCAGTGCTTGTAAGTAGGCCATACTATACTATGAACTAGTCTCAATCAGTAAAAATTTGGTTTAATTTGGTTTTAATTGGCTGCCTCTGTACTTTAAAAGGACCAGAGATAGTTAAGTAGCTGGTTTTGGGGTTTTGATTTGGTTTGGGATTTATTTTTTTTGTGTGTGCTGGTTTTTTTTTTGTTTTGTTTTGTTTTTTGTGTTTGGGTTTTTGTTTTTTTGTTTTTTTTTTTTTAACAAGTCTTATTTTGAGGGTACAAATTAGTATGAATGCTTTTGGGTGAAGAAAGCACTATACATAATACTCTAGCTCCCTCTTCAGAAAGCTGTTGTCATAGGCTACATTATAATGTGAAAAGGGGTAACAAGAAGCAAGTGCTGCAGTTAAGAGATAAACATAAACTACAAATAGTACGAGCAAGACTGAAAACCTGTTATAGTTGTGAAATTCTGTGAAAATAATATAAATATAGTGGCAGAATTAAAACTCAAATGCATTTTGCTTGCCTTATACAAAGAGAATTCCTAATCCAGATGTTTTTGCATCCTTCAGTGATGAAAGTAGATTTCGTTGATGTTTTATTTCAGATAAAACATACTGAAACTAGCTGTGGAATGCATTAGTGTTTATCAGTTTAAACAAGAATTAGTGACTATTTTCATATTTCAATAGAAAACCTCTAACTACATTTTTGAGAACTCAAAATTGGAATTTAGTTTTACAAATGTAATTGTTTGCTAGAAGGTGGGACCATATTTAAACCATTAGAGTAGGAAATGATTTTTTTAAAACTCCCCTTCTTCATAACCTCCTCTGAGAACTCTAGCTGCACTGGCGAGAAATGGTTTTTCAGGAGCAATAGAAATTCTTCTCTCTTCTGTTCAGTAATTCAATTCATACTCCACCAAAAGTCATAGCTAGTTTTTTTTTTTTTCCCTGAAGTAACATTTGCACAGTGACATTCACACAAGACAATGTCTCACACAGAGTTCTTCAGAAAGCCCTAGCCCTCTGGTGTGTTGGTTTATTCCTTTTCATTGCTGAACTATGAACCACAAGGGACTCTGTTCTGTTAGGAAGAGAACTTAAATGTCACCCAAATACTTCTTGCTTTTTGTGCACATTCCTCATCCATTTGTCTTATTTAGATTTCAGTCTGCCCTTGTGGAAATGAAAGCATACCGGCACAGAAATGTGGAAATCCCTTAGAAAGGTCCCATCCCTTTTTCACTATCTGAAAGGACTGTTTATGAAATCCAGGGAGATATACAGACTGATACCTCTTTTTCATGACTTCCTCTTTATCTGGCTTACTGTTTATTTCTGGCATGACAGATTGCATCTGTAAGCAGGAACCCATCTTACACGAGTGGTGCTTGAACTTAATGGATAATCTGTTCTGACCAGCTTTCCCATAACATTTGGATTGAATTATAACAGCAGTAGATTGCACAATTAGTTTTGCTGTAGATTTTTCAATAGCTCTTTTTCATTAGTTCCCTGGTATAACTCCCCAGTAGTCAAAAGAATTTACACAAAGGAGAAGCAAAAAAATCCATGCAAGACCAAAGATACTGAGCTGAACCGGCAGTCCACAAGGTCTCCCAAAAATGATCAACAACAGACGCTTGAAGTAGAAAAATGGTATGAAGATTCAGTGTGTTTTTTTTTTTTTTTTTAATTTTTCTTTAACATTTTATCAGCTCACAGGCATATGAAGGCCAGGAATTACCTGAGTCAGGACTGACAGCATGATGCTTGGTACTTACAGACTTTTACAATTCCTTTTGTCTAAGGAATTTAAATTCTTGTACATCTTTATCATTCGTAGTCTTGCGTCAGTCTGGTTAGATGCTCCCTTGTGAAGTTGTCCCATGTATGCACGTCAGGCCTTAAGTCACCTGAGGATGAGACTGAACCCATCCATGTCTCAAAGCATTGGCCTCAAGCCCACCAAAATGAGTCATTTGAGATGAAATGGAGGGACTTTTGTGTGTTCTGGGGCATGAGAGTTTATAGGGGGCTTTGAAGTGCCCAAGCTTGTTAGAGTAGTGTCAGAGGGCTTTTTAGTAGATGAATCCAAACTTAATGTTATCCACTCCATCTCTTGAAATAAGTTTCTGGTTTGAGTTGAGTTGTTTGCACAATTACCCACAATATCCCTTCTCTGAACTCAGGGGGTTTGAGGGTGGGATTTTTTTCTGTGTGTGTGTGTTTTGGTTTTGCTTTTTTAATTATTTTTTTTTTTTTTTTTACAGAAACTGTCACATTTAATCATCCTTACTGTCTTCAAAATGGCAGCATAGACTTTCTTTTTTAAAACAGGGAAGAGAAGTGAATTTGAGGCAACAAGGACAGGAACTGTACATGCTATTAAGGGTTTAAGCACACCATGGCAACATTTTTGTGTTGCTCCATTGCATACTCTGTCTCTTTCTAATAATTCCTGATCATAGAATCATTAAGGTTGGAAAAGACCTCTACGATCATCAAGTCCAACTATCACCCCAGCACTACCATGACCACTTAACCATGTCCTGAGGTGCCACATCTACAAGTTTGTTTGAACACCTCCAGGGATGGCGACTCCACCACCTCCCTTGGCAACCTGTTCCAATGCCTCACCACTCCTTCAGTAAAGAAATTCTTCCTAATATCCATCCTAAACCTCCTTTGGTGCAACTTAAGCCCATTTCCTCTCATCCTATTGTTTAGCTTTGGTTTGCTTGGTACTGAAGGTCAAGGCTATAGAACTCCAGAGACTTTCTTTATAAAGTCTAGTTGCACAATCATGTCTTAAAGATAGTAGTGTTTTCTCTCATGTGTCATGTTATCTAATGCACACTATCATGCCTTGGCCATTCTGCATGGGGTTCCTCATCTAACTTGGGAGCTACCCAGATGTGAGCGTGTTACCGTAGATTTTCTGCACTATTATTGCAGGGCTTGCAGGGTGGGATACATCTGACTTCCTCAGCAGTTACCTAAGGATGAGCCAAGCTGGAACATCTCCTGTGTTGAGTGGAAGGGGAAGGGTAGACCCCAAGCTCCCATATGGATATCTTTGTTGTAAAAGTCTGTGCTTGGACAGATCAATCTCATCTTTATAGTCAGCTTTGGTTTCTGTTGCACTGAATAATTTATAGTAGTGTATGGAAAAGAGGAACAGTTTATCACTCTGAATCTTATTTCCTAACTGTTTATATGTTGTTAAACAATGTTGGCATTATCACTGTTTCATACAGGATTCTCTGGTGGCATCCCTCTGTTGAGAAAATTTACTCTGTACTC